TAGGGTTGGCTCGCCTTCCCACAGCCCCATCTCCATGAGCAGCTGCTTTCCTCCTTTCGGCAGGCCGATGAGAACGGCGGTGGGGCCAGTCGTCGTCGTGGTCGTTGGTGTGCATGGGAGAAATATTGGCGCCTTCATGGTCGGAAGAGGGAGGAGAGTCGTTGCCTACAGCAGGGTCCGCAGGGGGCGAAGGGGCCTTCCGAATCGTGCCGTCGGCGTTCCTTGGCAGCTTGCGCTTACCCTTTGGGCGACCCATGTGCCCGGAGCGCGTGTGCGTCTTTCGTTGCGTGCGTAAAGGGTGTGTGTGTGTGTGTCCTCTGGTGTGTGTGTGGCGGGAAAAAATTCCCCGAGGGCGTGTGAAACCACCCGAAATATCTCCGAAACCCGAGTTTTTTTTTTAAATCGGAAAAATATCATCGGTGGGAAATCACGAGAGGAATCGATTGCAGCACTTCATTTTTGAATCGTACGGTTGGATTGTCCCCAAGAAACTAAGCAAAATACCCTCCAATATCCGTTTTTTTGCCCATAACTCCGTTATTTTTTGTCAAATTGGAAATCGGAAAAAAAACATCGGTGGCAAATCACGAGAGCTGTCCAAACCCGGTCTCAGATTTTGTGTCTGCAAAAAACACCGCCCTCCAGAAAGTAAGCAAGATTTCTTGAATATCTGAACATATCGAGCGAAGGACGAAAAAAAAAAAAAATCTCCGTACGAAGACGCGCCTTGAAACGTCGATTTACGCGGTATTTTCAGATTTCGGAATAAGTACCCCCACCCCGAGAAAAGTGCACCTTTGTGCAGGGGAAAATATTGTGAATTTTTCCGGAAACGGACCATACTTCTATTTGTGTCTTGCACTTCGAAGTGTTACTCGCACGATGTGTGCATTCCCACGTGTCGCCTGTCCTTCCAGGTGGCAACATGCCAGCTTTACCTCAATGTACATAGACGATGTGGTATATCTCTGTACTGTGTGGAGGTTTTCCTAGGGGGACTACTGTAGTCTGTGTGTGTATGCTGGTCGCGAAGTATCTTCGCACCCACACTTGCAATAACCCAACAGTATTCTTTAATACATTATCATTTTTTTCGCCAAAAAACACATGGGCTTCACTTCGTTTTACGAACACACACACTCCGCCGAACTACTTATTCAAAACGCTGTGCACCCTGCAGTTCGAATACAGTGTGGTTTGCCAGGACGATGCAATCATCGCTGGGGTGTTTGTAAGTGCTTTCAGTTTGCTGCAGCCGAACTCATCTCTTCATACCTCAACACGATGCTCATTGTTTCCCGGTGTCTGGCTGCGGCGCCGTGGTCGAGATCCTTGGAAGGTTGAAACTCAAAAGGGACTTACGATAAGACTTGGTACTTGGATGTCGGTATCTTTTTCCAACTGTTGCACCTTACTGTTGGCAGTCTCTCTTGTTGCGCTTGCTTTGCTCCACTCCGCTAGCTTGCGAAGCGGACGGCAAAGCGCGCCAAGGCTGAGGCGGAGCTGAAGGTGGCTACCGAGGCGGACGACAAGAACGATGTCGACAAGTTTTCTAAACGTCTCGTTAGGGTCACGCAGGATCACAACGAGGACTGCAAGAAATTGCTCAGCCTGATGGGTGTTCCAGTGGTCACTGTGAGTACGTACCCGTGTGTAGTTTGTCTTATCGTTCCCGGGAAGTTACATGGCAATGTTTAAGACGAGGGTGCACTCTCATGTCGTCGACTGCTGCCATATTCGATTCATTTTGTGCTTTTCCCGATCTTGTGATTTTCTCGCAGGCTCCTTCTGAAGCTGAGGCGCAGTGCGCTGCTCTAGCTCGGGAGGGAGTTGTGTACGGCACCGCCACGGAAGATATGGACGCGCTCACGTTTCAAACTCCCAAGTTGCTGCGCCGCATGACTTTTTCCGGTTCCAACCAGCCAATTCTGGAGGTGGACTACCAAAAGCTTCTCCAGGTCAGCCGAGATTATGTGCTCGTTTGAGCGATCTTTTTCCGATCCCTGTGCTCATGTCTGCTGTCCCATTCTCATTACATGCATGACTGTAACATTCGCAAATGTGTGAAATCGCTCACCGACCCGCTGTCTGCGCCACGGTCAACATGTATCTGCAGGGGTTGGAGCTCTCCCACGAGAAGTTTGTAGACCTCTGCGTCCTCTGTGGTTGTGACTACACTGGATCGATCAAAGGGATCGGCCCAAAGAAAGCGCTTGCCCTTGTTCGTCAGGTGAGGAACCACGCACGTAGTACCTAATTTACTTGTCCGGGTCCAGGATGACACCATGATGCCAATCGATCATTATGGCGTCGCTGTACCAGGGACGAAGCCCATTTCAAGCCAAATTGAACCAGATGAACCATTATGTAGCAGTCGCACAGGAGATGCTCAGTCGCTGGCGCTGGCTTGATAGACTACAGCAGATGGACTGGCAATAGAGTAGTTGTCGGCATAACGTTCTCGTGTGGCATTGATTTGGACCTGAAAACTTTATTGAGATATGCGTAGAGTTAGGGTTAGGGTTAGGGTTATAGGATATTTTCGTTTACCTTTTTTGGATAAGTTAGCCTGTGACCACGGGAATCGACCCCGTCAAGTGTTAGACTAGTACGGACAGAACAAGGTACTGGGCAGAGAGAACGGAACGGATTTTTAATGTGAAGACAACTACATATGCGTATCATGGATGACACGAGCCCCAAACCATTCGTTACTGCAGCTTGCTACCTTTTCAACCATATTTGATCCGTTCTTCGAAATTCAGTGCCCCAAGCCCTGACGCTTCCAAAACTCCCAACCTAATTCAAATTTTTCCTTTTTCAGCATGGCACCATCGAGGAGATCATCAAGCACCTTGACGCCAAGAAGTACCCAGTACCCGACGATTGGTTGGAGCCTGCTGAGAGGGCCGAGAGGCGCAAGCAGGCAAGGCAGGAGGCAAAGGCAAGAAAGGAGGCCCGCGCGAAGGAAGAGGCCAAGGTGAAGGCTGAGACCGCCAATCCTGAGGCTGTGAGCGAGGAAAACGTGCAAAAAAAGGAGGGCAACTTCGAGAGTGACAACAAGGCGAAGGGTGACACGCCGGAGCACGGGGTCAGCGTTGCCAAGGAAGCCGCACACGTCTCCGCGAAACGCGATCGAGAAACGGAAGATGCCGCAGAGAGCGAAGAAGAGATGGACGACACCCCTCCAATGTACCGTCAAGCCAGAGGACTGTTCCTCAAGCCCGAGGTAAGGTATTCTACCTCGCTACCTCTCCCATGCTACAAATAGCGATGGCAACCCAATCTTCCTGGATAGTCTACAACTACCACGGCTCTACAGGTCTTTCTTTGATGCAACTAAGTCAGAAGTGATTGGCCAACTTGCAGGTAGAACCAGCCGGGGAGTATAAGCTGAAGTGGACCGACCCTGACGAGCCGGGACTGATCAAGTTCCTCGTTGAGGAAAAGGGGTGCGTACCACGACCTCACAACATCGTCTCCGTATTACAAGCGTTTGCTTGGTTAGACGTCGGTTTTTCACTAACTTGTTCAAGACGGTGCGCGATGTTTGTACGCACTCAAGAAAAGGAGGATCTTCATCATTACCCCAATTATTTGCAGGAGTCGAGCGAACGTACGTTTCCTATTTCCGTGTCATGAAGGCGGGTTCCATCGCATATCAGGGGCGTATCGGGGGTGTGGAGAGTGATGCGATGTTCACCAGTTTGGAACTGTGTGTTTTCACGATTGGTTCCCTTCGAGAAAAGGGTGTCGAACCCTTGTGGTCACCCAGGTCGTGCTTGAAAGATTTTCTGATCCGCTTGCAACAGGTTCAACGCTGAACGCGTAGCGTCCGGGATTGTGAAGCTCAAGGGCGCACGGAAGAACGTGTCGCAGAAGCGGATGGACAGGTGAACAAGTGATTCGTGATCCTGTGATCCATAGATATGTGATGAGATCTTTTCAATCACCAGATGCATTGAAATGTGATGTGGACGAGCGATTTGCCGTCCGGTGTGGCGCTTGCTGATCCAGTGAATGAAGGCAATGCTGCTAGCTCGCTAACGGAACAACATCCCACAACTTTCCCCCTCACAGCTTTTTCAGCGTCATCCCCAACCCGAATGCTGGTGCCAAGAAGCCCGCCCCGAAAGCTAAAGCTGGGGCGAAAGGGAAGGCCGGGGCAAAGGGCAAGGCCGGGGGAAAGAAGCGGTAGAGAGTGTGAGCGGAGCTCCAAGATCGACCTCAGCAAGTCCTAGAGTACCTATGCATACGCACTACGAACGAATATGCCGAGGTCAACATGCCGCAGCCTGCGGTCTGTCTACTGTCCATGAATGAAACATGGGCATCAGCGACGACGGCTGAAGAGAGAGCGATTTGAGATGTTTCGGGTTCCCCAGAGGTGTAAAGTGTGTGGCGGGAAGCTTTCGGTTTCACAGAGGTTTCGAGGAAGTCCCCGAAATCTTTTCTTGAAATCAAACCAGATTCTAAGGAGCCAGCCCCCTTGGTGGAGCAGCGTGAGAATATTGTAGCTGCAGTGGTTCCAGAGACCAGATGGCCACGACAGAGTGCATCTTGTTGGAAACAACAGAATGGTGACCGTCACTCCAGTGGGGTGCTTCGCTCGCCCTACTCTTCGTTGGAGGTACAGCCGTCGGCGTGCTTCGTAGAGAATGTGGAGTGTGCGTGGAAGGTACTGTAGATATGTTCGATGTGTATCAGAAGTGGTAGGCAAGAATTAGATTTTTGAAGAGCAAGTGTTTGCCCGCATTTTGCCGGTGGTGAGTTACAAGTCCTCATCACCACACCATGGCTTAAAGTGCGTTTATCAGTCACTGTGGGCATCGGGGATGTGAGTTATGTGTGTGAGAAAGACACACAACACAGCTGTGTGGTGATGCGTGGACACAGCTCTCTACGCAAAACCCCCCACAGAATGAAAACACATGGAGAGCAGTAGGTTCGGAGTCAGAACACAGCAGCGTCTCGTCCAATCAGCGTCGCGAATCGTAACATTGACAGTACAGTAGATGCAGGACGAAAAGGCGATTGAAGCGATCGTGACGGAGAGAGCGGTCCCCGTGTCGGCGCCACGAAAAAAGAGGTGATGGGGGTCCGCGTGCGGGCGAGCCGAAATCGTCTTGAGTCGAGAGTCGCGCGAACACCCCACTCCTCTGTTAGACGCCCAAAACTGCAAATTCATTACCTCAAAGTACTTGCTTCTCATGCAGCAGCAGCACAACGTCTAGGCCATAGCACCAAGGTTGCCATCAACTGACAGAATGCGAGTGGGATCTTGCTTAAAAGCAGAAGCTCCCGAAAATCCAACAATCGACAGAAACATGGCAACGAGAGGCATTTCTTCTGAGGAAGTTCGATTTTGAGGCAATCCTCTCCCAAAGCGGAGTACGGTAGTTCGGGTTGAAGAGAAGTCAAGCTGGCGTGACGTTACCCTCCGGTGTACCGCACATGACCACCGAAACGTACAACAACCGGTTCCTTTTTTTGTGATGACGTGAACGCCCCAAGTTGCTCTTTTGTTAGCGCTCGCGTAACCAGGACGAACATCCCTCGAGCGACATCAGTCCTGCCGTTGGTTCTGAGTTGAACACAGAAGGGGCAAGTATCGTGTATGAGTACGCATCAACAGGGCTGCTAGCAGTAGATAAGTCACATAGCGGTAGTGTTCTTTTGTTTCTTGATGAATGGTGAGGCGTGGGATATACTTCACTTCATGAAACAAAGTGAAACCATTTGGTATCTACGAGTGTTCAGCACGGCACATGCAGACCCGTAGGTGAACGTGTATATCTCGAGTCTATAATGTGTACTCAGGCGACTAAACACTGGCGGATAATGATCTTACCAGTGCAATACATGCAGCCCGACGCGAAGCTTCCTCGCTCTCCCTGTGGTTCCCCTGCTCACGGTGAACCTTTGGGTAGGAGGCAAAATAACAACTGCTGTCACGTGTTGAACAATATACTTGTCGGCTAGAAAAACTGATGCAACAGTGGGCGCGCATCGCGATTGTGGCATAAGCAGTGGAATACTACCGACACGGGCGCCAGGACTCGAGGTAGTCAGTCGCGTGGTGTCACAAGGGTCAATTGAGTCCAAACGGAGAGGGCGTTTAGTGTCGCCACTTCCCCCCATTGACTCACCTCTGCAATGCTGACCCAATTCTTAGAGTTCAACGGGTTAGCAACGGCCGCTCTATTGAAACAGCCCAGAGCCTCGTGCAACTTCTTATTGCTTTTAAACTGTTCGCCTTTCCTCCAAAAATCAAGTGAGGCCCGCTCGTCTTCATCCCTTCCGGGCATCGTCGACACTGGGCACCACGAGCATCCATCCTCACTGTCGTCTTCGACGACGGTCAACGCCACACCGGCATCTTCGTCGAGGCCCCGTTCTTCGAAGTTCTGCAGCAAGTCCCTCGCCTGATGCACGCGTGGGGCCCGATGCGTTTGGCACGAAGCGGTACGTGGTATGTCGCCAAAACATTCCGCTGATCGAATCCATTCTAAAACGAACAATCACGAAAAACGCACCAGCATAGCATACGCCAATCGCACCTGTTGACTGTTGTACTATTTATTTAGTCTATGTCCTTCGAATACACAACAACCTAGTGGGCGCGAGCGGGGGGAGAACGGCGAAGCAAAGCAAAAAATATTTCCCGAGCTTTGCTTTTATCCATCGCCCTGAGTCGCCCCGGCCGATTCCAGACCTCTGACATCTCTCTTTCGCTTAGTGATTGCTCCGTTTGTATGACGCGTCTACAAATAGGCCAGTGGGGAGGTCGGGGGGGCTGGAAAGCAGCGGACAGCGGTACAGGGTAGGTGGAATTGGGAGCGGGCGGGGCAAAAAATGCGACAGAAGACACTTCGTGGCGCGTTCAAACGAAATTGCAAAGTGGCGATGATGGGTGATGTGAAAGCGGAGACCACGACCCTTGTGGAACAAACAATCAAGCCCATACATCTCCCGAGGATCTGAGATTGGCATGACTTGCTATATGTCAAGAGAAATGACTGAATCGAGCGGGGGGCTACGCAGAGAGAATCTCCATCTCAATAAATGAACGATCAAACATCCCTGACGCTCCGACGCTTGTGTTGAATCACACGGAATGAACCGACCTCTCTGGCTTTGGTTGCTCTGTGGTCGTTTCGTTCACCAGGGATGAAAACCATGCGACAAAAGTATCGCGCTTTGAGATAGTTTTCAGAAGCAGATTTTGGAGCTAACGCACCAGCCCGTGTAGAGGGTCTGTTTGTTTTCATGCTTTTCACGGCAGTCTGTGACCTAGAACCCATTTCGGCACGTGGGTAACCCTATACAGCGGCACCTTGGTAAGCGAAAGTGCCGATATAGTGGCAATGCACCCCTACATGTGTGACACCAAAGTTCACAATATCGGATTACTAGCGTGCTCTCCCATTGAAGGGCGGTGATCCATAAATATCAAGCACCGCAGCCCCCTCGCTCCCACACACCTGCACACACACTGCAAAATGCATTGGCTGGTATCCGCCACGTGCTCCCAACCATGGATGCCAACACGCGCAGTTGAACACTTGTTTCACTGCCGTGTGCAACAGTGTAACGATCTGGCCGCTACCCTGTTGATCTTTCAGTCTGTGTGGTACTGCAGTTGTAGCATTGCAACATCGGCCCGCTGGTACGAAACAAAATACCAAGTCGATGTGTGATCTTCTGACATCGTGATTTATTTTCGGTTCTATACGCGAGGCCATCTTGGGGCCAGGTAGCCGGCGACCACGGAAGGACTCCCATCAGCTGGACCACCGGGTTTAGGTAGGTTCAATACAGCGCAGATCTGAATGCTTTCTAGCTAGCTTGGAAGCGGCGACGACAACAACAACAACCGATGTGTATGTTTGGGAACATCATATTGCGCGAGGTACAGAGGTGGCAAAGTAGAGAACGCATGAACCAACGGATGTTGTTGTGCACCTGCAGGCCTAGTACGTTCGCCCACCAAAGCGGCAGAATGCCGCCATTGTACCTTATCAATAGCGGTAAATATGCCACTTCTGAGGAAAAGCTGCACTGCCATAAACAGCGGCATCAGTTGTTCTTGAAACTGCGTGCCGCTAGATTTGTCTACCCACTGCATGTCGAACATGAGCACAGATTGGCACGATCAGCATGCATCTGTAGAAGAAATTGTATCCAGGGGCGACGCGTACGCAACGAGTACGATGCGCATCTAATTCAAAACATGAGCAATACGGGATTCAGTCGGCGACAAGCCGTGCGCTTGGTCGGGCAACCAAGTCCCGACGAAACGAAAGTTTGCACGCTGCTGTATCGAAGGCTGCAGCCATTCGTGGCCGCAGCTCAAAGGGCTATTTCCAAAGACGTTTTGTGCTCACCGATTCGTGACCTTAGGTCACACATGACAGAACCCCACCACCCCCCCCCCCCCCCCCCCCCCCCCCCCCCCCCCCCCCCCCCCC